CCAACCCCCACTCCTATCCCCCTCCCCCCACACACACACACACACACACCTGTGATGTGTCGTTAACCCCTGTGTCTGCCTGTGTCATGAGCTGTCGTCTGTGTCGCGCCCGGAGTCTTTTCTCCAACAGCACCGCGTCCTTCTTGTCCTGTCTCACATCGTCGCGACGGCTAGACGTCATCTGGAAAAGTCACATGTCGTCAAAGAGACCGTTTTTAGTTAGAGTAAGAGTTTTACGGCACTTGCTTCGTTTGTGTGAAAAAAGTTTGCTTCTGCTTTAAGTAAGAGTTTTATGAATGGCACCTTGCAACACAATAAGGTCAAATAAGTGCCGAAGATAAGGTGTGTTACAAGAGAGTTACAAACACAAAAAAAGGAGGATACTTTAGTTTTAGTAAGAGTTTTACGGCACTTGCAACACAATAAGGTCATATAAGTGCCAGAGATTAAAGGTGTTACAAGAGAGTTACAAACACAAAAAAGGAGGATACTTTAATTTTAGTAAGAGTTTTACGGCACTTGCAACACAATAAGGTGATATAAGTGCTGGAGATTAAAGGTGTTACAAGAGAGTTACAAACAAAAAAGGAGGAGGAGAGATAAAGACGATAGCTGTTTGATAGGAAAGAAGGAGCACACCACACCAGAGCACTCGCCAACCACCCACGAGTAAGAGTATTATAAGGCACTTGCTTTATTTGTTTGAAAACAGTGGCTTTGTTTGTTTTAGTCAGGTTTTACGGCGCTCTCAACTGCATAAGGTCAAATGAGCGCCAAGAGGTGGATGTCAACAGAAGAATCCAAACGTGGAATCAGACTTACTCTGCTCACCTCTCTAGCCTCAACAGCACAAAGTCTGCTTCGACTATCAAGGCACCCCGGAAATAGCAGTTCACAAGAGAGTGACAAACATACAAAAGAAGTAGAGGTAAAATGACGATAGAGAGGATGAGGAAAGAAAAAGCAGCAGTTCCTCCTATGCTGTTCCGGCACAGTTTAAGCATGACATGGATAAATCAGCCCATTTACAATTCTACTGTGCATAAGAACATCATGATAATATCCCCCCTTTGGGAATGGTCAAGAGACACTTTAGTCCGTAGCACTGGCCTGTGGGTGGGATACAATAAGGTCATATAAGTGCCGAAGATTAGAGGTGTTACAAGAGAGGAACAAACACAAAAAAGAAGAAGGGGAGATAAGGAAAATAGTTGTTTGACAGGAAAGAAGGAGCAAACCACACCAGAGCACCCGCCAACTACCCACGAGTAAGAGTTTTACAGCACTTGCTTTGTTTGTTTGAAAACAGTGACTTCTGAAAAAATTATTTTTAATATAGTAATTTGCTGTATGTAGAACACTGCCTTCCATGAATGAAAAGAATGAGAGAGTTTTCTTCTTTTTCTCTTTTTTCGAGGAGGATGAAGCAAATTAACTTTCCATTTTAAAAAATAAATATGCTGACAAAATGAGTTGCTTCTTGGATTTTAGCCAAATGGACATCATCATCATCAATGCCTTTCACCCCTGGCAGGGTATAGGCCACATACAAGCTCCTTCCATTTATCTCTGTCCTGAGCCATCCTTCCTAGCTCGTTCCAAGTGAGCTTCATCTCTCTCATGTCCCTTTCCACACATCTCCTCCATGTTTCCCTTGGCCTACCCCTGCCTCGTGCTCCCTGTGGGTTCCACTGCAGTGACTGTCTTGTGATGTTTCCGCTGGGCTTTCTTAAGGTGTGTCCCATCCATCGCCACTTTCTTAGTCCTATTTCTACTTCTATATCCTTTTGTCCTGTCCTTTCCCACAGCTCTTCATTTCTTATTCTATCCTGCCACTTAATTCTTAAAATACTCTTCATACATCTGTTGATGGACGTAGATACATCAAATTCATAGGCTGAGTTTGTACAACTTACTAGTAAGAATTGATCAAAGACAGGTGAAACTTTGAGAAAATCGTATCACTTGATTATCTACAAATCTGACTTATGTCAATTTTCGGCCGATATCTCTATTTGCAGATTGCGAGAAGTAACTCATTTTGTCAACACAATTAACCGTATCCGTACATCGTGTTTTACTATCGTATCATTACGACGTGCGGAACTCTGTGCCACCACTTTCCAAAGAGGAAATTACTCGTTAATCCGATCCGTATGCTTTGCATAGCAGTCTGTCAAAATGACTTTTTGAGACATACTGAAAGTTTCAGAGAGATCTTCGTACTAGAAGTATTCTAAAATGTGAAGAATACAACCCCGGGGGTACAAAATGACGCCAGGGTGTACCGATAGGGTTTGGTTTGCTTCTTCTTTCCTATCAAACATCTATCGTCCTTATCTTTTTTCCCTCCTTCTTTTTAATGTTTGTTACTCTCTTGTAACACCTCTAATCTTCTGGCGCTCATATGACCTTATGCAGTTGCGAGCACCGTAAAACCTTTACTAAAACTAAACTAAAAACAGATAGGGTTAACAAATTATGTCCAAGTTCATGCCATTGAGAAACTCACGGCCGGAGGCAGGATGGGGACTCCGTTGAACTTGATCTGTGACTCGAAATCGGAGTTGAAACAACTGGGGCCCGTGTGGAAGCTCTGTCTGTCCAGTCGACGGCTCTGGGACTCGAAGTATTTGATGAGTTGACCCATGCCTGCTGGACTGCCACACTATTTAG